TGAATGTTGAGGAAGAAATATTCGAGAATGAGGAAAATGAATCATTTGATGACGAAGAACATGACGATAATGAAAATGAAACAATTGAGGAGGAAGAATGGGAGAATGATGGAATTGAAACAAGCGAGGAGAAATAGTGTAGAATGAAAGCTAGCTAGTATATATATGTAAGTGTATTTTGCTAATTTTATTGAATTTATGATTTATATATATATTATACATGTAAATTTGCATACAGATGTCATCAGGCGGTGACAGTGATAGACATCGCGAGCATCTTGGAATTAGCCAGACTAAACAGGCTAAAAAGAAGAAGTCTAGGAGTCCCATAGATCCTGAGGATATTGCAGGATCTATTTCTTCTGCGCCAGAGCGCATCAACCATGATACTCATATACTTGCTGTTCCGTTTGGTACGGCGGATCCTCGACAATATTATCCTAATTACCGTTGACCAGTAGATGTTTCCTCTACTTCACAGGCAGTGCCTTCAGTACGCTACGAGGACCTACCTTTACATGCTATTCGTCGAGGACGACCCTTATCGGCAGATACTCCATCTCCCACAGGTGCATCTCCTCAGTTATATACCACGAGGATTAGAGATTCTGGTAGCGAGCAGTCAAATGCTATGGCCGGTACGCCTCCATTGACGCGTTATGTGCATCCTGATATATCACCCTCATCTACAGCTACACCTAGTGCTACTCCAGATGAGATGCTTCCTCTAGTTCCTGGACAGAAGGACAAACTTGGTAGAGTCATGATTGAGCCGGATGGATCATCGTAAATTTCTTTTGTTATCTATTTGTTAGTTTATTTTATTTATTTCTTATACTTTAATATATTATTCATGAACTAACATATTTATTATGTTTTTTGTAGGTGGCATCCGGCAAAAGATGCTGCTCGGGATTTAAAATATTGTGTTAGGAGACTATATACACAGGCTTATCACTCTTGGGGCGAGATCCCAAACAATATACGCCAGACGATGTTTAATAACTTTATGGTATATATTTTTTTAGTTAAGTTTAGTGTACTTTACTTTTTTTCACTATCGATCTAATTTACGTTATTCAATTTTTTTTATTTAGACTATGTGTACTTGGGAGCCGAGGCAAAATCATGTCCTTTCGACCACATTTGAGAGGAAGGAATCCGCCAGACTGTCTGCCTGGCTAAAGAAAGTTTGGGATAGTGTTGAACGTCCGGATTGGATGTTGCCGCATGATTTTTGATGATCTGGGTCGGTAATGGAACACAGACAAGTTTAAGGCAATATCAAACCAAGCCAAAAAGGCTAGAGGCAGTCTTAAGGGTGGCCCGTACACACCGGAGGTGCAAAGTCTGTTGGAACAATTGCAAGAGAGATGGTAATTAGTTCTAATTCAAACTTTTAAATAAATAATTAGTTGATTCATATATATCGTTATAAATTTCATTTTTTTATTTATAGGAAAAAGAATTGGGACGCACTCCCATTGCACCAGAGGTTTTCAAGAAGACTTATGCCAGGAAGAAAGAAAATGAGTCGGATCCGGATGTGTGGGTGGAGGAAAGAGCCGAACAAACTTTTGTAAGTTATTTAATATGAATAATATATATTAATTGTGAATATATTTATGATATGTATATATATTGATGTCAATTTTTATATTTAATATGCATAATGAGTTTTAGCATTATGTCCCTGAGAATCTAGATAGTTCGATCGAAATGACACCTGAACTTTCCACCCAGATCTGGAAAGAAAAGGTGGTAGGGGGGACACACAAGGGTAGAGTCTATGGTCTAGGCTCTCAAAACAATGTAAGATGACTCCAGTCAGGCTTAGAAGGAATTGGATCATCAAGTCAAGCCGAGGCACTTGACGGTGTTCAGATTGCTGCTAGTCCGATCAAATAGCTAAACTGACAGCGGCACTGGCAGAGTCGGAGCGGAGAAGAGTAGCTGAACAAGAAAGCATGAGCAATACTGTTCAGCAAATCCAAAAACAAGTGATGAACCTCGCTCATGGAACTACTACTTCGGCTCTCGAGGAAAGCGACGACTACAGTACTGATAGTGAGGATGATTGTGTAGGACCTACTCCCTAGTTTACATCGGTGAACTTTTATGATTTTTTTGTAATTTTGAAACAAATTTTGAACCAAATTTTGAAAGACTTTTTAAGTCTTTAAATTTTGATTTAGATACTTTCGAATGTTATTTTAAGTTTCTTGTTTTATGTTTTGTGTAGATTGTTTATAATTATGTGTTTGATTGGGCTAAATAGTATAGATCAATTGAATTGAATTGCAGGTGGGCAGCAGAAACTGCCAGTTTCTGCTGTCAAAAAAATTGCAGAAAAAGCGACGGACAGCATGGTTTTGTCTGTCGCTTTTTTCGGTTTTTTTTTTTAAAACCCAGAAAAGCGATGGACAGGGTTCTTTTGTTCGTCGCTTTTCTGGATTTGCATAAAAAATAATTTCCAGAATAGGACGGATAGGGTCCTTTTGTCCGTCGCTTTTCTGGGAATTTCAAAAATTGAATTTCTTCAAAAGCGACAGACTGCGTTGCCTTTTAGAATTTATTTTTTAAAAAAAGAAAATTAAAATATAGCGACGGAGTCCGTCGTTTTTGTAAAAAAGAATTAAAAAAAAAAAAATTCAAAAATGCGATGCGGTCCATCGCATTTTAGCGACGCTGTCCGTCGCTTTTTGAAAAGCGTCGAGCCAAAAAGCGACGGACATAATTGCGACGCATTTCCGTCGCTTTTGGCCAAAAAAGCGACGGACTGCGACGTTTTTGTCCGTCTCTTTTTGGCAGTTTTTTAGTAGTAGAAGTAGATGATGTCCGTCTAGTCTTCGTTCTTTAACACCTAAATTTGATTATGTGGTGTGTGCTATTGAGGAGTCTAAAGATTTAGACTCTATGGCGGTAGAACAATTGGAAGGTTCTTTACTAGCCCAAGAAGAGAAAATGAAAAGGAGAAAAGAAGAGCCACTAGAGTAACTTCTTAAAACTCAGGCATCCTTCAAAGGATTTGAAGGTGAGAAAAGTTACAAAGGAAATTGACAATGGCGAGGCCGTGGAGGTTGTGGAAGAGGAAGAAGTTATACCAATAAATTCAACAATGAAGATAAGAGTAGCCAGTCATTCAGAGGTCGTGGTTGTGGTCAACGAGTAGGTAGAGGACGTGGAGCCTATCAAGGTACAAATGAAATGAGGTATGACAAATCTAAAATTGAGTGTTATAATTGTCATAAAATTGGACATTACTCTTGGGAATGTCGTAGTAATGTTGAAGAGACAGTTAATCTTGTTGGCAACAACAAAGACGAAAATGAATCAACGTTGTTATTAGCACTCAAAGAAGATACAAATGATTGCAGTTCATGATATCTTAACAATGGATCAGTTAGCAATCATATGTGTGGCCACAAAGATAAGTTTGTGGAGATAAAGAAGACGGTGAAAGGTAATGTGTCTTTTGGAGATACCTCAAAGATCCAAATTGAAATGATAGGTACGATTCTGATATCCTGTAAAGATGGTAACCATAAATTGATTAACAATGTTTATTATGTGCCAAAATTGAAAAGTAATATTTTGAGTTTGGGTCAATTTCTTGAAAAGGGATATGATAGTCATATGAAAAATATGTATCTTTGGCTTAGAGATTCAAGTAACAACTTAATTGCTAAAGTTCATATGACCAAGAATAGGTTGTTCCCTTTGAATCTTAAAACCATCGATGCAAATTGTTTGAAGGCTAATGTGCAAGATGACTCATGGTGTTGGCTCATGTGATTTGGGCACTTGAACTTTGAAGCACTCAAATCAATGGGAGACAACAACATGGTTGATGGGATTCCATCAATCAAACATCCAAATCAGTTGTGTGAAGCTTGTCTTCTTGGAAAACATGCAAGGAGAAGTTTTCCAAAGGAGGCTACATCAAGAACAAGTAAGCCACTTCAACTTGTACACGCCGATGTGTGTGGTCCAATCGATCCACCTTCTTTTGGTAAAAGAAAATACTTCTTGCTCTTTATTGATGATTTGAGTAGAAAGACTTGGGTATACTTCTTGAAGCAAAAATCTAAAGTTTTTGTTGCCTTTAAAAATTTCAAAGCACTTGTAGAAAAAGAAAGTGGCTGTGAAATAAAAGCATTAAGGTCCGATAGAGGAGGCGAATTCACTTCAAAAAATTTTAATGACTTTTGTCAATCTAATGGAATTCGTCGCCCTCTAATGGTACCTTACTCTCCCCAACAAAATAGAGTTGCAGAAAGAAAGAATAGAACAATTCTTTATATGGCTAGATGTATGTTGAAAGCTAAACATCTACCAAAAGAATTTTGGGCCGAGGTTGTTTCTTGTGCAGTTTATTTGAGCAACAGGTATCCAACAAAAAATGTATGAGATCAAACGCCTCAAGAAGCATGGAGCGGAAGAAAGCCAAATGTCAAGCACTTGAGAATTTTTTGGAGCATAGCCTATACTCATGTTCCATATCAAGGGAGAGCTAAACTTGACGATCGTAGTGTCAAGTATGTGTTTGTTAGATATGACGCGAATTCAAAAGGCTACAAATTGTACAATCCAAGCAATAACAAGGTGGTGGTGAGTCATGATGTTGAATTTGATGAAGAAGCATCATGTAATTAGGAGGCTTCAGAAGAAAAATCATATGATTTTCTTCCATACTTTGGAGATAAAGAAGAATAGGAGAGCATGACACCTGCACATGATGCAACCCCACCCCCTTCACAAGAAAATGTTGCATCTCCGTCTACTCAAGAGAGTTCAAGTGAAAGACCACATAGGATGAGGAGCATCCAAGAACTCTATGATGACACAAAAGAAATTACTAATTTTGATTTTTTGTGTTGTCTCTTTGCTGATAGTGAACCAATGAATTTTGATGAAACTGTTACTGACAAAAGGTGGAGACAAGCCATGGAGGAGGAGATCCAGTCAATAGAGAAGAACAACACTTAGGAGTTAACAACTCTTCCCAAGGATCATCAAGCAATTGGAGTCAAATGGGTATACAAGACGAAGAAAAATGCCCATGGAGTGGTAGAGAGATGCAAGGCAAAACTTGTGGCTAAAGGCTATAAACAAAGGCATGTCATCAACTATGAGGAAGTCTATGCACCTGTTGCCCGCATGAGACAATCCGTCTATTGATCTCTTTAGCGGCTCATATGAAGTGGAAGATTCATCAACTAGATGTCAAATCAGCATTCTTGAATGGATATCTTGAAGAAGAAGTCTACGTTGAGCACCCATTGGGTTTTGTGGTTAAAATCATAAAGATAAGGTGTTGAGTTTGAAGAAATCCTTATATGGATTGAAGCAAGCTCCATGAGCTTGGAATAGTTGCATTAACAAATACTTTCAAGACAATGGGTTTACTCGTTGTCTACATGAATATGCTCTTTACATTAAAGTTTATACTAATGGAGATATTCTGCTTGTTTGTCTTTATGTTGATGATCTCATTCTAACGGGTAACAACCCAGTTTTATTTGTAGCTTTCAAGAAAGCTATGTCCCTTGAGTTTGAGATGACGGACATAGGGATCATGTTATATTACTTGGGCCTAGAAGTCAAGCAAATGGAGGAACGCATCTTCATATCTCAAGAAAGATATACAAAAGAGATTTTGAAGAAGTTCAACATGTTTGATTGCAACCTTGTGAACACCCCAATGGAAAGTGGAACAAAAGTGTCAAAGTTTGATGATTGGGAAAAGGTGGACTCCACTCTGTTCAAAAGCCTCGTAGGAAGTCTAAGGTAATTGATATGTATGAGACCGATATACTCTTTGCGGTTGGATTAGTAAGTCGCTTCATGGAAGCTCCTACCTTCACTAACTTGAAGGTCGCTAAAAAAATTCTTCGTTACCTAAAAAGTACGATTGACCTTGGACTATTTTATTCTTCTTCTGATGATTTTAATCTTGTGGGATATTGTGATAGTGATTATGCGAGAGATGTTGAAAAAACACATCTGGTTTTGTGTTTTTCTTGGGTGATTGTGTTATTTCTTGGAGTTCAAAGAAACAATCAATTGTTACTCTCTCGACCTGTGAAGCTGAATACGTGGCAGCGACATCATGTACGTGTCATGCTATTTGGTTGAGGAGATTATTGAAGGAACTCAATTTGCCGCAAATTGAAGCCACAATGATTTGTGTTGATAACAAATCTACGCAAACACTTGCAAAGAATTCAGTGTATTATGATCGGAGCAAGCACATAGACACAAGGTATCACTTTATCCGAGAATGCATTGTCAAGAAAGAGGTAGAGCTCAAGTATGTGAAATCTCATGATCAAGTTGCGGATATTTTTAAAAGCCTCTTAAGTTTGAAGATTTTTAGAGATTGAGATCAAGCCTTGGAATAAAGAAGAAAAATCAAAATTATGGGAGAAATTTGTGGGGTCCATATATATATTTTGAAGTCATCCTTTGCTGATTAGGCAAACAACATTAGTCTTCCATTGCTGCGAAATTGTAACAATGTCAAAAAGCTTAAAAGTTATTTACCTACAAGTTTGAATTGTTAGTTTTCATTGATGTCATTAGTGACATCAAATGGGCAGAATTTTTCTTATAAATAGAGAGCACTTATATTCATTTGTAAGGACACACCAAAATAGAGAAGCAATAGAGAGTAGAGAGAGTAATCCACAAGCTATTTTTTAGTTTGTGAGAAAATAGTGTGAAAGTAATATTGTTGTGAGTTGTAAGAAATAAAAGAGTGTTGAGTAGTAGTCTTTTGACACTACTCAAGTTACAATAAAAGACATACAGGCCTGGACATACCCAGCACTTGATTCTCGTTGCATCTAACTCTCTACCACTCAAGACTATGGATAACCTCTAAACATTTGAATATATAGCCTATTTTGTGGTTTTAGATAGGCCCTGAAGTAGACCTCTTGAGCAATGTGTTTCAGAATGTCATCACAACTTCTTCTCTTCTGTTGAAATACTCGTTGGTTCCTCTCATTCCAGATGAAATAGACTGTTGCAGCTAGTACTATCTTGTAGACCTCAACCTTGCTACTTCTCCCTTTACACCACTTCTCTACCCATTTTAGTTCCCCATCCCACTTCATACATACATCCATTTGAGTAGCCTAGCCCATAATTGTCCAGTGTAATTGCACCCAAAGAATAGGTGCTGAATAGACTCCAGTTGAGTATTACACAATTGGAAGTTTAAGTTTATGTCTATTTCCCATTTGGCCAGTCTATCACAAGTGTAAATTCTTCCCAATGCCACTAATCTCAATATAAATATCCATTTAGGTGCACCTTGATTACCACATATCACTCATTTCTAGCTAACCTTTTCAAAGTGTCCCTTTAGCTTCTTATATATGCTTTTAATGGTCAATCTGGGCATTGTATGTACTGTCTCCAAAGGTATACCGGCCTCTATGAAATAATTCTTTGCCTTGAATATCTTATGTATCACCCAAGATGCTTGCTTTGGTTCTATATCCCAAGTACTTCTATCCTTTACATAATAAGCATGGACCCACTTGATCCATAGTTTATCCTTCTTTGTAGACATATTCCATAACAACTTGCTAATTGCAGCTTTGTTCCATACTTCCAAATCAATCAAATTCATCCCACCTGCTGACTGAGGTTGGCATAATCTACTCCAGGCTACTAATGCTTTCTGTGTTACTTCTGTCTTTCCAATCCACAAAAATCTTTTACACATCCGTTCTATCAATTGTGATATCTTTTTTGGTAAGATGAAGATTTGTGACCAATATGTTTGCATTGATATTAGTACACTCCTTATCAATTGAGCTCTACCAGCATAGGATAGAAACTTTGTTGTCCATGAAGAAATTCAGCCTAGCATCTTTTCCAACAATGGTTCACATTGAGCAATGGATAGTCTTTTAGTACTAAGAGGTACCCCAAGATATCTAAAAGGCATCTCCCCTCTAGTGAATCTTGTTTAAGCCATTATTTGATTATGTTCAGTACTTCTTACCCCCTCTAAAGTATATGGAACTTTTGCTGGCATTTGCTATCAATCTTGAAGCCTTTGAGAATTCCTGGAATGTATCAAACAACACTTGGACAGATTTGGCATCACCTTTGCTAAATAGTAAGAGATCATCAGCAAATCCCAACTGAACTATGTTCACCTTTGAGCATTTGGGATGATATTTGAAATCCCTGATCCATTTCAAGTTCTTGATTAGTCTACTCAGATACTCCATACTCAGCACAAACAAATATGGGGATACAAGATCCCCTTGCCTTAATCCTTTTTTTGCCTTAAAAGGAGTAGTAGGCACACCATTGATTAATATGGAATAGGACACAGTTGTGAGACAAGACATAATCCAATTAATAAACTTAGTTGGAAAATTTAATAATCTCAAAATTTGCTCAATAAAGGGCCATTCTACATAATCATATGCCTTATGCATGTCAATTTTCATCATGCTTCTAGGAGATAAACCTTTCCTGCCATATCCTTTCACCAATTCATGACTAAGTAAAATGTTATCCACTATCACTCTTCCTGGTACAAATGCTGCTTGGCTAGGATCTATCAATGTGTCCATCACAAATTGCATTCTTTTGGTTAAAATCTTGTACAGAATGGTGCAGCATGATATTGGCCTATAACTCTTTCACACAGATTGAGGATGCTTAGTCTTTGAGATCAAAGTGATAAAAGCACAGTTTATGGCTTCACACATCACTCCAGTATCAAAGAATTGTAGCACAACTTGAGTGATCTCCTTGCCCATTATAGGCCATGTTTTCTTATAAAATAGAGCATTAAAACCATCACCTCCTGGGGTTTATTATCCTGAATAGTCAACAAAGCATTATACACATCTTTTGTTGTAACTTTGGCAATCAAAGCTAATTGTTGTTCTCTGTTCAAGACTGGTCCCAGCTCCATAATATGAGGCTGGACAGGGGTTAGTTTCTTTGTTGCTGTACCGAATAGACCTCTGCAAAAACTCAATATCTCCTCTTGTATACCTTTGGCATCTTGTATTACTGTTCCAGCTGCATCTGTCAATCTTGTGATATGATTTTGTGTTTGTCTGTTCTTCATGCATGCATGGAAATATGTAGTATTTGAATCACCTTCCTTTAACCACAACACCTTTGCTTTCTGTTTGGTTGCACTCTCCTCTATATTCCTCTACTTTTCCAATTGTGTTTTAAGGCTCTTTTCCATCTGGTATTGCTCCACTAGGTTATCATCTTGAACATACCTCATTTGTTCCTGTAACTTCTTCAATTGAGTCCTAACCTTAGTTACTCTGGATTGAATCCCTTGAAAATCATGATTACTCAACCCCCTCATAGGATATTTTAACCCTTTTATTTTCCTCCAAACCTCATTCATAGTGCTAGCCTGTCTTTGTGATTTCCAATTGTTCTCTACTGCCTGCATGAATTCTGGGTGATCAGCCAAATAGTTGAAAAATCTGAAAGGTTTAGGTCCAGTATTCTCCCCTGCTTCTATTGTTACACACATAGGACTGTGGTCTAAAAATCTAGGATCAAGGATGCTGCACTCTAAATGTGTCCAGGATTGCACCCACATAGCATTAACCAAAGCTTTATATATACAACTATAAGTATGCCCATTTGTCCAAGTATAGTTCCTACCCACAGTCTTTAATTTTGTTAACCCAGTATCCAGTAAACATTGCTTAAAATCCCTGAGTTCTACCTCCTGAACTTGTGAGCCCACTACTCTGTCCTCAATATGCAAAATAGAGTTGAAATCCCCCATTACTAACCAAGGTTGTCTGCACCTCATATTGTATTGAGTCAACTCATACCACGTTTCCCTTCTATCCAGACATGTATGTAGACCATAAATCATGCTTAGATCAAATATCATGTCACTACCTCTCACCTTCACTGTTCCATGAATCACTTGCATGTGTGTCCCTTAATTGAAACTCCACCATCTTTGGATTCCATAGTATCCAAATTCTCCCTCTTTGGTCCTCTACATAATTGTTGTGCCATATCCAATTTTTTGCTATCTTCATCACAACTTGAGCTGCATTATTCTCTTTTACTCTAGTTTCTGTAATAGTTATTACTCCTACTTTATTTTCTTGTAAAAACATCTTAAGCTCCTTGTGTTTATACACTTTATTGAGTCCCCTCACATTCCCTGCTATTATATTCATCCAGTGTTTGGTTGTGGGACTTACCCATTAGTACCACCCCTTCTATCTTCACTACCCTGGCCTATTTCACCCACATTTAGATACTCACCTTCCTCCAGTGTATTGAAGTTGTTCCTTGTTCTAACATGTCGTCCCATCTCTTCATCAATATGGATGTGTTTGGTTGCTGATTTCCCTTTCACTGTGTGCCATCCCTCCTCATGCATGTTCTGGTTCTTTTGCACCTGGCCACCTGTAGTTTCCATAGACTTCCATTGTTGCTTGACTTTATTCCTGATCTGTTGTTTATATCCCTCCTTGTTCTCTTTTCTTTTTTGTTAGGCTCAGTACAGCTATGCCCAACAATACAACACGTATTACAATAGATTGGCTCCCAGTCGTATTGCACCTTCTGTTGCATCCTACCACCATTTGGATAAAAAATCTCTACATGTCTTGGTAGTGGTTTAGTAACATCCATTTCTATGAGTACCCTAGCATAGGATATTCTCCCAAGTCCTGAAGTACATTCATCCGCGTACATAGGCTTCCCTAGTGCACTCCTAATCTTACTCAACACAACCAACCCCTAGTAATGCAACGACAGATTTGGGAATTGCACCCAAAGAGGAATCGTTCTCAATACTTCCTAATTAAAATCAAATTTTGCAGTCCAACTTTCAATATGATAGGACGATTATTAAACATGTATGGACCTGCTACTAAAATGGATTTCTTATCTTCACTACTATTCAACTTCACAACAAAGAAACCATCATTATGCAGGTATACCTTGGGTTTCACCACAAAGTTCCACTGTGTTGCAATGAATCTCATGATGGCTCCAATGGATTGCCTATCACATAAAGTATAATAGCATTACTCCATATTTCATTCTCGATTTCTACATCTTCCTCACTTAGCTTCACCACTGGTTCCCTTCTTGGATCACTGGTGGCACATAACTCAATTCCATTCCTCTTGCTCCTAGATTTGCAGCTTGAAATAGCCCTTTCCAAGTCTTCCTCCCTGGTACCCTTTGTTCATTTTGCGTTGTTGCTTCCATACCTTTGGACTCAATCATTTTTAGATCTGAGTTCAGATCCCATACTTTTAGGAATTACTCATCCTTTGTTTTTTTTCCTGATGGTCCTAACCCCAGCCCTATCTTCATCTTCTCTACCATCAATTGTGAGTTTACCAATGTTACTGTTCCATTGGTTCCTCCAGTCCCTCCCGAAATTGGCGTTTTCATTTTTGATTGACTGGCATGTATAACTTCCTTGATCATGTTGTTTTCCGCTACCTGAGTTTTGTTCTTCTGTGTTCTTCCCATTGCCAACGAGCGCACGTTAGCTAGCCTTGCTTAACGTGCGCTGAGAGAGAAATGGGAATTCATCAATATTATTGCATTACTTATTCGGGTATCATATTTACCTTATTTTAATATTTGGTGTCGTTGTTACTCTCTTCCTATTACTATTTAGTTTGGACATTATCTTGGGTGTGCTTATCATTTTGTCCAACAAGAACCACTAGCAAAATACATTATCATCAACATTAAGCTTGTTTAGACACTGTAACGTACATATAGTATACAAGTAATTTGTACGATAATAATTTGTCTTTTCCACAACTGTAGTAATTTCAATGATGCTTTAATTTCTTCTAATGCTCTCCACTTAGACTCAGGTGGCGTCAGTTTTATAACGAACATATCAAATGCAAACATAAACAACACACCTGCTAAAACGTCCCAATCAATCAGAAAATTCAATAGTAACCGAAAGAAGAGTTTTTTGTCCCAATCAAACAGATCTTGATGCTAGCGAAGAACAATCTAAGTGACCTAGGGGTCCCACTATAATGCACTTGGGATGGGGAAAAAATGATAGCATTTTACATATTGGTTGGCCAAGATGCAGCTACAGAATGCAAAATATTTCTTTACTCTCTTCTACAGTTAAGCCTCATTTCCATTGGAAGCTACTGGCCCTGTCTTAACATACTCGGCAACCTTTAAGTTCACTTCCGTACGTGCTTGTCTTTGAACTTGAAACATCAGTTGCAGTTGTCTTTGATAAATATGTATCTGATTGAATCCTTTTGCACCGATGGCTATGATAGCAGAACATAAGAAAGTTAACCACATAACAATGAAGTCAGCTCCAATTCCCATTCATAATAGCTTCCTGTAGCAACAAAACGTTATTTAAATGAGTAGTCAAAACAAGTTTTAGGATAAATCTTGGAACATACTTTCGATAAACAAGACGAAAGTATTTAATATGTTCCTCTTTTCTATTTAACTTAGTTATGATAAACAATTACACTTCAAGCTTTAGCAAGTAACAGTGAAGTAGTAATAATTGGATTTGTATAATAGGTGAACCAAAGAGGGCACAAGCCATGTATCAATTCTTCTTATGTAAATTAGTTCGAGTGAGAATAGGCAGATATATGTAGTCGTTACTGTTAAATTTACGAAAAGTAGATACTTGTAGTCATTACAATTGCTCACAGTTGTAATCCCCTACATAGATCAGCCCCTGCTATCAAGGAATTATATGTCAAACTGTGAGGTGTCTTTCAAAACTATCCTTACTGTTGCAGACTTTCAAAATCATGCTTTGTACCTTTTTATTTTAAATGCTCATTTCGAGCCAATTACATTCATACCTGCTTTTCTGGGAACAAGAGTCAAGGCTCCATATATCATTCTTTTTTAGTGCTACCAGCTCCTCTTGCATTGCGATATGCCAGTGTGGAATAGCTAATTATGCTTTCACAACATTGCAAACAAAGTCATCAAGGTAACATGGAGTTGTTGTTTCTCTCCGACTTCTTATTCTTGGTACAATAGCCTCAATCGACTCATTTCTTACAGCAGTCTCAGTTGACTCATCGATCAATTCATCTGATATACTAGCTAGCATCAGTTGGCTCACTTGGAACAACAATAACGTCAACTGGCTCAGTGACGTAACTTTTCACCTCTTGTCAACACTTCCCCTGAAATAGTCGGCTCCTCAGCTTTGTTCTTGCATTCAAAATTTAAAGTGCTCACACTGGAGCTGAGGGACATTGGAGGCAGGATGAGTATCATACAATTTGAAAATGGGAGTTCCATCTTGAGAACCGATGAGGGAATCCTATTTACAAGAAAATAGCAGTCAAGAATGCATCAACCCACAAATAAAGAGGCAGCTTAAATGACACAATAGTGTTAAACCAGCCTCCACAATATGTCTATGATTCCTTTCTATAACTCCATTTTGTCCAGGAGTACTTGGGCACGAAATGTGTCTCACAATTTTCAAAATGAGTAATAAATTCAGCTTTAAAAATTCACCCCCCCCCTCCATCACATTGAAAAACTTTAATCCTCTTTGAAAATTGATTTTCTAGAACTCAACAAACACTTCTTTCAAGTACTTCAGATTTCTATTTTGAAGGATACAACCAAGTGTACCTAGTATGATCATCAACAAAATGACGTAATATTTCATATGTAGTGACAATCCAATAGGTGCAGGTCCTCATACATCACAATAATTTCTCAACAAGGATTTATTCTCAGTCTTATTTCTCAAAAGATATCTTACAACCTTCACCGATTTGGCAACTAACACATATTCTCGGAGTTTTATTCCAACATATGCTATTAATACACTTATTATTACTCAAAAACTTTGTATTTTGGATGCCCCAATCGAGCCAAAATTTTTTGCACTTCCAATATGTGTTATGTTGAGTTTTGAACCATTACCAACAACAATTTTATCGGAATCTTTATAAGATGCTGAAAGTTGGACAAGTTACCTGTAAAATTTATCATATGGTGTTGTTCTCATCCTCTGTGTGCTGTAAGTTTGTTGTACATAGGACTTGAGGAAGTTTATCAGATGCTTGATAAGAGAAATTCCATCAATAGAAACATTCAGTGTGACCAGTAAATCCTCCACCTCTAGAGGAGAAGATGCCTCTTCGTTAATAGATCCACCACAACCTCGGCTAAACTTTGAACTCCAAAAATAACTTTGAACTCCGCCCAATTAATTGGGTTGGTTCTGCCTTCCTCAAGACCTGTAGAGATTTCAAGATAGGCAAGCATGATATCAATAAGACGTTCAATTCTTTCTCCCACAAGGTCAAGTGGGTGAAAGGAGTTGGAGGTTTTATCCAAATTTTCCCTAGAAAGAGGGATGTTTGGCTTTGTACAGGCATTAGTCTCCTAAATGGAATGAGCTAACTCTGAATAATCTGATACACAACTATGATATAGTGGAAGATACTCAACCAAATCATAATATGGTTTTTCAAGATCAAAAGTTTAGTGGAGATTATGGTGGATCTAATCCACAAAGAGGAAGCTTCTCCTATAAAGGTAGATGATTATCTCCCTCAGATTCAACTAACAAATGAAGCAACAGTCGACGACCTGGTCACTGCGTGAAGTTTATTCACACAAATACTATGGAGAAGAAGTTTCTTTGACTCTTCAAACCCTAGAAATCATAACAAAAATGCAAGTCACAAAAGCTACAACGAGAAACCCGAAAATAATATCATAGAAGAAAAAAAGGGTACTAGTAAATAGTACTCCCTTTGTCCCAATTTATATGACACATTTTGTTTTTCGAGAGTCAAACTATTTAAGTTTGACCGAGAATTTACTCATAGAATCTTCATTTTTTTTTTAAATGAAATTTATATATTTGTAAACTACGTAAAAAGTACTATAAGTCACAATAATTGAAAATTCAAAATATTTGACAGATATATGAAAAATTTATGGTCAAAGATAGACTTGTTGAATCTCAAAAATCAAAATGTATCACATAAATTGGGACAGAGGAGAAGTAATGCAAAGTAACAACAACCTAAAAAAGAAAGGCAATGCAGATAAGTTTGATTACATTTTTATATGGATTTAATCAACTAATGCATTGTCACACCCCGAGCTACCCCCAGGACGCGGACATGGGACCTAGGATCACGAGTGACCCCAAGCTAACCCTGTTGGCATAACATAAGCATACTTAACAGAAATACTGAGCGGAAGCTAAATCATGAAATAACTAAAATGATGGGGAATACCCAATATTGTCTGTATAGAGAGAAACTATGAGTTTTAATAAACAACTGAAGTATCAAACTCGAATCTAAAGATGAATCTAACTATGTCTGAAATAAGCCTCTAACTGACTAAAATTGTTGGGACATGCCCCCAGCTAACTCTAGCAAAATTGAAACTAAGACTGAAAGTAGAAACATAATCATGTCAATCGTCCTCGAAGAATGAGAACTCACCACTAATTCTGCTGAACTGAAGATCGGGAACCGATCTATGCGTGATCTGACTGCTAAGGACCTAAACCTACATCACGAGAAGATGTAGCGCAAAGTATGCGTCAGTACTTGAAAGGTACTGAGCATGCATGATAGAATAAAGCTGAACAATATACATATCTGAACAAAGCATTTAACTGAGCAATGATGTAAGATAAGCATGATACTATACTGGAAATATTGAACATAAACTAACTGAATGCAATGACCAAGTTTATAACATGCTGAAACTGAATACTGAACTGTAATTGATAACCTGGTCAATGCAATAGAACATGATTGTGGGAGCTACTAATAACCGACATAAAACCACGTGAGCTAAACATGGAGTCCGATGTATACGCCCCATCGAGAGGACCCAATATACCTTCCAATGGTATAGCGGCATGACTGGCGTGATCACTAAGTATAATGCCCATAGAGGGGACTTACCTACGGGACACGTAGTTCTAGGACTATGAGGGTGACTGACCCTAGTCCAACTCGGTATTAAGTCTACTCCCAACTGATTATGTAAATAGCACATTATGACTGAATTTTTGTAATACTGGATAGCTCAAAATACTGACATGCTAACTGAAAATGCAACATTAATATATTGATAATGAAACATTCTTAACTGGAGCATGTATAACTGAATAAACTGGCCTAGCAAGTGTAATTCATGAACTAAACGAATCTACACAACTAAGGTTCTGAGTTTCAAGCAAGAACTAAGCAATAATTCCACGAAAACATGATAATCTGATTTGGATTATTCTAATAGCTGAATCACAACATAAATTTGAAATTCTAGAAACCCTAGGTCGAAACATGATGTTAAGAATCTAGAATCTGATTGAATTCTAGGGACCTAATGGGTGAAAGGAACCCACTAGTGAAATCCCACATACCCATGAAGGGTTTGGGTCGCCTCTTTTCTCCTTTTTTGTTCTAGGTTTGATGATTTTTTGGTAAATAAAGGTTATGGGTATGTCTGACTAAGTTATTAGACTTATTCTGAGTAAAACGACGTAGATTATGTGTAAAACGATGAAGTTTAAGTGCCCAATGCATAGGAAAAAGACCTAAATGACCCTAACTTAAAAGCTGTCGAAGGCCACCTACGGAGGGACCTACGGGCCGTAGGTCAACCTACCAACCGTAGGTTGGGTCGTAGGTAAGTCTGCCGGACAGAGTTTCACTAAAACGAGCATAACTTTTTACTCGGAGATGGGATTTTAGCAAACTCGGTGGCATTGGAAAAAGGATTCAATTATCTATCATTTAGTAGGTTATGTACCACTTAAATCTTTTTGTGCTAAGGTTTATGACCATTTGAAGTTGACCCAACAACAATTTCCCTTTAACTAGCTGCTACCTTCACCTACGGTCCATAGGTCCAACCATGGACCGTCGGTGGCTTCTGTGGTTCTTGCACCAGGTCTGGAAAGCTGCAAATTTTTTTCTATTTTCTCAAATCCGAGGTGTTACATGCACTATCCAAGTTCCAAGTTTTTTGATAGATTTCTATGGAACAATAGTGATGAGGGTAGAAGAAGAGATTGGATTTCATGGTTTGACATTTATTTGCTAGAGGGTGAGGGAGGTTTAGGATTTAAAGTCCTGTTTGATATTTCAAAAACTCTTATTTGCTAAGTTATGGTGGTTTTTCAAATCAAAGAAGTCCCTTTGGACTAACTTCATGTGGAATAAATATTGTAAAAAATTATTCCTCGTGAGGTGGAGTGGGAGAGGGGGGGGTCACAATTATGGTAGCACATGTTGGAAACTAGGGATCCTATTGATCAGGAAATCTGGTGGGAAATAAGATATGGTTATTTCAATGTTTGGTTTGACAAATTGACAAGGTTACGAGCTCTATACTATGTGATTCCTCCAAATTTTCAGATAAACAGGTCAATAGATGAAGTTTAATGAATCAACGTGGATGGGATAATGAGAAGATGCAATAGTTTCTGCCACAAAGTATTAGTACTCACATTCATAATGAAATACAGTGTCCAAAAGTGACTAATACTTGGGATAAGCCATGGTGGATGCTCAATGGATCTAGTTAGGGGTGTCAAAAATGAACTCAAACATAGGTAACCCACCAAGAATTTTAAGGGTTGGGCTCAAGATAATTTGAATTGGGTTCAATCTCAACCCATTCAAGCCTAACCCATTTTAAGAGAATCCTCAATTGAGCCCAATTCAAACTCTAATTTCAACCAGTTTTAAAACTTTTTATTAAGATATGTTCCTATATTGAAGGTATGAATTATTATCTATTTAACATCTTTTAGGATTTATCTATCCATTTGTTACTTTTAAAAAAAAAATCTTGAGCTGAAATTCAAATTGTGATTATAAAAGTTAAATATTAATATGTTAAAATTATTGAGATTAATCGGGTCAAATTGGGCGGGTCAAGACCCAACCCATTTGACACCCCTAGGTCTGGTAAGTTCTCTGTAAGGAGTGTTTGGAAGATTTTGCTATACATAGAAAATTTTCCATTACTTGTTTATAACTTGTCCTAGCACTATGAGAACATGTCTGAACCAAGTGTAAAAACATATCCAGAAGCACTTTCCATATCATCAACACTTCCTACCCAATCACTATCTAAATAACCCATCAATAACCTTCCCGCACGGTTTGGAGAGCACTGTATTAGAATGAGAGGTTTACCATCCTTGCTCTTCCCTTTTAAACAAAATACAATAAGCAACAGTTTCCTTGATATACCTCAATGTTCCCTTAGCGACACCAAGATAAACTTGACTTGGAGCATGTCTAAATCTCGACATAGGGGGATTGCCTATTTGCTTGAGAGTTACTCATTGTTCAACACGAGCAGAACAATTTTGGAATTTCTGAAAGAAATAGAGCATTAGAAAACAAAACGAATTTTGGATTTTTTTGAGTTATTGGAAGGAACAGAGTATGAGAAACACAATTTTATTATAACTTATTAGAGGCTTTCAATGACGCTCTGTAGGTAGTTATATATTTTATCACTTTTATATCACTTCATTTTTTTTCCTATTATTATTGAAGTTACTGATTGATTCGTACATATTATCAAGTGCATTCTTTATGTTTGCATTTGTTTTGTTCGTTACAAAAATGATGTCGCCTGAGCCTAAGTGGGGAGCGTTAGAAGAAATTAAAGCGTCGGTGACATTACTACAGTTGTGGAAAACACATATCATGACCGTACAAATCACTTGTATACTATATGTATGTTAGAGTGTCTACACAAGCTAAATGTTGATGATACTGTGTTTTGCTAGTGGTTCTTGTGTGTATCCAAGAAGTACATTGTGAGACATCTACAACTTCAAAACAACTTATTATCTTACTAAGTTTAATGTGATGAGTTTTAAAATATTTGTCCACAAACTAGTATCACTCTTGCAAAATTATAGAAAGAAAATTTCAGATTAATACAATAGAACTAATGAATAAATAATCCCTAAATGCAATGCATTTCTATAGTTATCTTGTTGACGTGGAGGGCAAAACTGAAGCTCGGCACATGGACAATCTTTTTTCCTTAACCATTATTTGATGCAACCTGCATGATATTCGTGTCTGCACCGAAGTGTCCCTATGGTCTCTTCCAGCTCATATTCTGTGTGACATATGACACAAATCTCTTTAGTTTTTGTTGGATTATTCACTCCGTTTTTAGGCATAGCAACCTGATGAGTTCTTAGTTTGAAATAATCCAATGTTGTTGCACCTAAAGACTGAGTAAACAATCCCTCAAAAACTGAACAGATTTGTGTCACATGTCAAGCGGAATTTGAGCATGAAGAGTCCATTGGGAAACTTGGGTGTGAACATGAATATCATACTAGGTGCATCAAACAATAGTTGTTGAGTAAAAGAGATTGTCTCATGTGTCGAGCTTCAGTTTTGCCCTTCACATCAACAAAGATAACTATAGAAATGAATAGTATTTAGAGATTATTTTATTCAGAAATTTTGTTGTAGTAATATAAAGTTTTGACCAATACTTGTTTGTGTATTTTGTAAAACTCATCTCATTAAACTTAGTAAGATAATTAGTTGTTATGCAGTTTTTGATCTAACACACTATACGTCTTTGATATATACAAGAACAATTTGTTTCTGTCTTATATTGTTAAGAGATCATCGACAATTGTACCATATTGGTTCTGCTCAGCTATCTTCTGAGAGAACCATTTTTCATGTATCAAAGACAAGAAAGAAGCAGCCTTTATGTTCACAATACTAACAAACTTAGATTGAAAAATTGATCTTCTGCAACATTTTTATCTAAATGTAACTTTTCAGAGAAAGACTTAATAAGCATTGCAATCTAAGTTGCTCGGACTCGGTATAGATCTAGAGGTTGGATCATTCATCATTTAAAATTTAAGATTCAGGGTGTGGATATTTGAATAAAAAATAATTCAAATATCAAAAATAAAGTTATAAAAAAGAATAATGCATAAGTACCCCTTGAACTATATACGAAATTCTAGTGACACACCTAAACTTAACTAGAGTCTTATTACCCCTACACTACTTTACAATGGAATAAATACACCATAATTATTGATGTGGCATAGATAACCAAATGAGTATACTTTGTGTATTATACGCGCTTCACGTTTTTTAAGCATTAAAAACCCAGTTACTACGTGAAGTTTATTTACATAAATACTGTGGAGAAGAACTATTTTTGACTCTTCAAACCCTAGAATGCAATTTTAAGAAAATGCAAGTCATAAAAGCTACAAACTAGAAACCTGGAAATGATAGAGAAAAAAGGGTACAAGAAAATAGTAATACAAAGTAACAACGACCTAAAAAAGAAAGGCAATATAAATAAGTTTGATTACATTTTTTTATGAATTTCATGAATTAATGCACTATCTAATTTCCAAGCTTTTTGCTAGATTTCAATGAAAGATGAGGGTAGAAGAAGACACTGGAGAAGAGTTGATCAAAATGGGAGTAGTAGATGATGTGAGGAGTTCTTGTTATAATGAAGATGCACATGAAACTTTCCGGCATTTGGTTTTAACTTATCCTATCACTATGAGAGTGTGGGAAACTTTTATTGCAGCTACTGGAAATTAGATTCCCTTGCTACAACTTCAAATGACAATTTAAAACTGGTGGAAAGTGGATTTTGCCCAGCTAAGCTAAAACCCCTATACAATGCTATTCTTATTTCATTTTGTAGCTTGTTAGGAAAAGAAGAAATTTTATAAGTCATGGTGAGAGTAAGACTTTTAGCAATTTGATTTTTGAAATAAACAGGAGACTGTATAAGTTGGCTAGAACAAGGTATTCATGGTTGAAGTATTTACCTAAGCAATGGCCCCTGATTGTGCAATTTTTAGAAGACTATACACCACTGATCATCCACAAGGTGATAGTTTAGGAGAAACCACAAAGAGATACCTTCAAATGCAACTTGAATGAATTATCAAAAGGGAGCCCAAGGCCTAGTGCAATTGGTTTCTATATAAGTGATTGAGGAAGGCAATTTGATGTATGTTAAAGCTAGAAAGTTAACACAAGCCACAAGTTTAATAGCTGAAGCAGGAGAAATTAAAGCTGGTATGAAGTTTTGTTTCAATAATGAGATGACTCCAATAGTGGTAGAAATTGATTCTTTAGTTATGAAAAAGGTATTGGATAGGGTTTGATAAGTACCTTAAAGTATTTCTTTGAAGATCCAATACATACAAGGTTTAATGGATAAATGTCATATTTTTGTGGATCATGTTTATAGAGAGGGTAATCAGTTGCAAATTATTTAACTAACCTAGTTGTTCGTTTTGCAGGTACTTAATATTTAGTAGTCTACAAGAGTTGCCCCCAAAAGGAAAGAATATTTTTCTCTTTGATAAAAAATCAGATTACAAACACCAGAATACAAAAATGTCAAAATTCTAATTTTGAGATTCAAATACTACAACAACCAAATACTACAATAACATCAACTGATATAATCTAATTAGGGATAATGATGAACAAAAACCTCATGTTATAGGTTTGGGTTCAAATTTATTCTATCGAGATGAAAATTTGATGGTTCATACCTGAATTGTCTTGTGATTAATCCGCTATGAACCTTTTTTCTAATAACTGTGGTATTAACTTCTTTTGATGCTCAACCTGTTGAAAAGAGTAAATAATGAATTTGCCATCAATTTTTTTAAAGCCATTGTCCTAGCTATTACTGAGGTTATATCTACAAGAGATTGAGAGATGATTTCTTACCAGCATTGTGCCGAAGAAGTCTTCAACGAAATCAATTACGCGACATCAGTGAGGTTTTTTTATGTCTAGAATGAAATCAACCCAACACATGCGAGATTTTGGTCATTGCACAATCGTTTCATGGTAGAAGATTCAATTTTGCACAGAGACTAGCTTGCTCGTGAAGATATGATGGATTCTATGAGAATTTCATTTTCTGGGCTTAACTTTCCCCTTTTGCTTCTTCCTTAGTTGTTTCTAGAGTTTTCGTTATCGTTTCATTTCTTTTTTTTTTGTGTTTTTTTGTTTCCTAATTCGGGTGGATATGGGCTTAGCCAAATTGGGCTTTGTGGACCTCTGTTGTTGTTTTGGAATAAAAAGTGGTCTTTGCCACATCTTTAATAGAAAAAGAAAAGAAAAGAAAAGAGTGTATCATAATTAATGAATAGTTAGTGTAAAGTCAATGTATACTTTCTATGACTTTTTGAAAAATTTTATGTAAATAAAAGCATACCTATATTTGTTGTAAGCTAATTACTTTATTGTATATATTTGAAACTATTCCTTTTGGTTTTGCTAATCAATATTTGCCCCAATGAGTCTTTCAAAACTTCCTTTTGGTTTTAAACATGTACAGACTTTTTGAGACAAGTTTAGAGAGAATTTATGTCTTTTACCTTATTAAAACAATAAAATAAAATACATACATTGTGAAGGATACACCTATCCAAACATAATGTAAATGTGTAATAATATATCTATTGAAATGATTCCTAATGTATCTAAATTCAACGTAAAAGGGTTGAATATGTCCTTAAATTATGCAATATTGAACAAAAATGCCATCACTTAATAGTTTGGTCTAAAAAGTTCACGCTGTCAATAGTTTTGTCCAAAATGCCCCTACTGCTAATAGTTTGGTCCAAAAATATTCCTATTGTTAATTAATGGATCAAAAATGTCCATTTTTCTAATATATATTATTCTTTTTAAACACATTTTATTCCTAATAAAAAAGATTACTTCTATAAAACTATATTCTTGTTTCTTTTCTTTAAAAGTCACTTTAACTAATAAATAAAAAGAAAATAATCGTTTTTCTTCCTTATCTCATTTTATCAATTAAAATAGAATAACTACATGTACACCTTTTTAATTGATAATATAAAATAAACACAACGATAATTTTCTTAAATAAATTAATAAATATTTGTATTTCTTAATCTTTTTCGAGTTGAAGCAGGATAAAATTGTTGATAAAAAATTATTAAAAAAAAAGATAATAAAATTATAATATATTTAATTGAAAAAAAGATATTTTTAACTCATTAAATATCAATAAAGTATTTTTGAACCAAAATGAAAGAGCATTTTTAGACCAAACAATTAATTGAGAATATTTATATTTTCACTTTCCCTAAATTCAATTTTATATAATAAGGATGAGAAAATGCCCAAAATAGTCCCTCATCTTTGGGTTAAAACTCAAAGTCATCCTTGAGTTTTCACATGGAGCATTAATAGTCCCTCATGTTTGCATGTTTGGTGCATGTTTGGTCCTCCTCCAAAATTTTGCATATTTTTCAACATTGATTTTATCCATAATTTATGTATGGAATGTCCAATCGTCATTTTATGTATTTAGTAGAAATAATAACTCCATGTAAGAAGAAAAACACCTTGTTTTGTTTAGTAAAAATCGTATTGCAGGTAAAGTCGAGAGGTAAATCACGACGATTTCACGTGCAATAGTATAAATTTTTCTTTTTTTGCAACGTCATATGTTAAGATGTTCTTCGTTTAGCTGTAGTAATACTTCAAGGTGTTCTTCTTCTCACCCTCTCTCACATATAGTTATTATTTCTACTAAATATATAAAAAGATGATTGGACATTCCTTACATAAAATTATGGACAAAATTAATGTTAAAAAATAGGTAAAAATTTAGGAAATGACCAAAAGTACGCCAATATTGCAAACATGAAGAACTATTAGTGTTCCATGGAAAACTCAAGGATGAGTTTGAGAGGTAATCCAAATATGAGGACTAATTTGGACCTTTTCTCTAATAAGGACTCCTGCTCGACCAAGTCACCACGGACCGGAGAAGTGAAACTTTTGACTCTGGCGATCGATAATGGAGTGGGAGAGTGATGATAAAGAGCTAAAGGCGGCCGGAGCTGAACCTCTTCCGGACGGCCGTCGAGGACTCCTCATTCACGGTTGGGAGATCGAGTGTCGCAAGCTTTTCATTCTCAATTCTGTTCATCTTCAACGGTTTTCTCCTTTCCCCAATTAACCCTCATTTGTCTTTCACTTGCCTTAATGCTTAATTTTTGTTTGTTTGTTTATTCTCTGAACTTTTAAAGCGCATCTAATTTCTTGCCTTTTAAGCTTATATGATTTCTCCAAGCGTTGGAGATTCTGGTGTTTGTTTAGTTGTGTATTTTAGATTTTCATACTGTAATTGGGAACTGCCAGCATTCAAAAGGTCTGATTTTGAACTGCAGCGCACTAGTGTGAGTATCAGTGGCCGCACGGTCATTGCTTCCCTCTTAAGGCCTTTCCTGTAATCTATTAGCAGAAGGACGTTTTTAAATTTCCTCCTTTGTTGGTTTTAAATTTTCCTCTAGATGTTCTGCTCTCTGTTCAGGAGCAAATGATTTATGGTTTAATCAACCTTTTCTTCTTCTTTCTATTCCATCGGGTATTTGCAACCAACACCAGCGTAGGTACCTGGTAATATCGGTTAGCCAACTATTGATAAATCAATCTGCTAACTATGGACAATTGCAGTATTTCATATTATACTGGAAGTTAACCTATGATTTTCCTCCTCCTTTATCCCAACTTGAAACCAGTATGCTTTGCGAAACTCACACAGCAGAGTTTGTAATTAACTATTAATTGAAAGATTGAAGCCAGGCGCAGTAGAAATGTAGGGCTTGAGTTAGGCTCAAACATGAAATAGGAATTCAAGAGGAGCCAAAAGGATAGCGGCTGCGGATTTTCCTTGTCATAAAAAAAAAAAAAATTCTTTTAGGTTAAGTGCTTATGTTTATTCCTAAGCGAACAACTTTAGTGTGACAAGAATTTTCCTTTCCAAACTTACCTTTTCTTCAATGTGTACTAGGCTGTTACTTTTCATTCGTAAAAGAAATATGGATTGTAATTGACGTGCTGCCAAAAGTTTCGTGAAAAGCGATGTATCATCATGAAATTAATGTTTGGAAATACTTGTGACATTCAAGTGACCTGTCTTATTGTCGTAATGCTACAGTGAACAATTTGCTGCAGATTTTTTATGCTTATACGTAGAACCATTGCTATCCTGTTCTTGTCAAGCATTTGATATCTTCTTTAGTTGGAAAGGTTTAGTTCCTCAAAATGCTAATGCTGTTCTTGTCAAGCATTTTGGATATCTTCTTTAGTTGGAAAGGTTTAGGTCCTCTCTAATGCTAATGTTTATATGCATATACAGATGGGAAAAAGAACTTCAGACGACTCACTTGCCGGAGATGGTATTTGGAGACAATTGTTTGGTGCTTAAACATGTGAATAGTGGCACAAAATTCTTTTTCAACGCATTTGATGCTTTAGTTGGTTGGAAACATGAGGCCTTGCCGCCTGTTGAAGTTCCAGCGGCTGCAAAATGGAAATTCAGGAGGTGCTCTACGTTCTCTTCTTTGCAGTATGCTATATGAAGAATTCTGCATATGTTTCTCCAGCTTTTTTATATATAAAAGTTGTAGAATGATAATGAAAAAACCAGAGGTAGCGATTTAGCTGCACTTTGATTTGGTGGTTAGATTTCGTGCACTTTGATTGTTGAAAGTTTTTTTGTTTCAGTCCAGCTGAAAAGATGTTACTCAATAAAAGGGGAGGACATTTAAGTAGCTCCAAGAGCATTCAGTCTTTTGTTCTTTCGTTTTTATTTGTTGGTAAAAGGGGGTTTGGAGGTTGAGAACTTTTTAAAAATTTGAATTAGGAGTGCAGAACCCTCAGGCATGCAAGTTATGTATCCTTGAAGAATTAACCATCATGCATTAGGTTGACAGTAATATAAAGGTTTTGTATGTTCTGTCTTGCTGTTCTTTCATATCTGGTATTAACTATTAATGTTTTCAAATTCAACAATATCAAGCTACTGTATTAACTAATAAAGGAGGTCAAAGTTGCAATTTTGTTCGGTTCACCTTGTTGGTGTTGATGGTAGAATCAAACAACTGCATATTAAAACAACTCTATTTACATAGTGTGGTTAAGGTGTTGCTCTCAATCCAAATGAGAGAGAAGTTCATGATCTGAGAGAATGAATTCTTGATGAACATGCACCAATCGGACCAACAATGAACTATTTAAACGAATGGATAATTCTTAAAGCTACTTCAGAAAACTTCCTCTGCTAAAGAAAAACACCAATCTTCCATTTTGTCCAACAGTGACTGCTATGTCCATGTGGACATCAACAAATTGAGGGGAAAATAGTGCTTCTTGAAAGTACGGCTGGCACTAACACTAGAAGTCTAGAACATGATGATAGCTATTTTATAAGTTAAGCACACTTGTAATGGCTTCTGTCAGGATATTCATTTCCAGTTGTCTGTGATTGTACTATTGAAATGTGAATCAATCTCCCCCACAATGATGCTAACTTACAGAACCTTCAAGAATTCAGAGTCTAGAGAAGATCGGGTTCACTAGGATCAGCCTTTTGGCCTTTAGCTGAATATTGGACTCCACAACATGAGACTATCACACCAAATGAGCTCTTCCTAAATTCAAATGAGCTTCCTTGAGGAAGATAGTATCTCCATAACTTTTAGGAATAAACATACTTCTCTCCGTTGACAAAATATGATCAAATGTCACAATATAAAAGCCTCTAAAGGATTATATAT